TCCATGTTAAGCATAAATAGTAATAGCAGAATAGCAAGTACCTAGGCTGTTAGTATGGTAAGTTACAACATCAGAATGTTTTCTGTCGTAGAGTGCTCTCTAAGGGAAGCATCACCGCAATAAATGGATTGGCAGGGATCGGGTAACCGCTGTAACCAGTTGGATTTGTACTTTTATGTTATGACCATCTCACAAACTAACACATACCTTATGCAGCCGGGAATTTTTTGCATGTACCCAAACGAAGTAGCGGTTCTATGGTATCTAAATAGAAAATTGGACACCAGTAATCCAAATAAAACTGCTATATTAAAGCGTGTTGTTATTGGGCATCCAATCAGCCGGTTGCATAAACCGTCAGGGAAGAAGCGATTTTGTAGGGTAGTTTTTTTTTAAATTATTCGAAAATCTACTCATTTCTTCCAGAAATTATGCAAAAACTTCCAGTTTATGCTCACATTGCATGACTCCTCCTCTCACCTACTATTTTCGGATTTATTAATTATTCTCCCAATGCATGCAATGCGATCCTCATCTACCACCTCGTTTTATGAGCAAAAAGGTGACTGTTTTTGCAGTAAAATGGCTGGATGCATGTATTTTTAGGCAAAAATCATGTAACGCATTTCTAAAATGGGGTGGGTTTCTAAAGACTACGGGAATGAATGGACCGTTAACTAGCAAGTACTTCCCTTGAGAAATTACTAGGTATGCGTAGTTTTCCCCAAAGGGAATTTTCACTGAACTCGAAACAAAGTCTGCATGTGAGTGCACATAAATTAAGTTGAGTTTCTCTGTCACGCTAGTCTTCATTTCCTTAGACCTTTCCGTTTGAGTGTGTGCTAAAAACAAATAGCAGCTAGCGGTTCATAAGGTTTAGCGCGTCTGCCCTGCGTCGCACTTAGTCCGCTGTGTGTTTCCTAGGAAGAAAGCATTTTATTTGATTCATCCTAGCTACTGGGAGCATGGGTGCCTGACAGAAACCCGGGTACGTAGCTTGCAAATTAAATGTTGCTGTATGAGGCGCCTGCGAGGACTTCGACTCGCCAGTGTGTTCTCAGCGTATGCAGATTGGTTTATCTTTGTGTTTTGAGCTGCCGGCTCAGCAGAGAGCAGCGTGTTAAATTGAATTATACTCCTTGGGAAAAATCTTCATATCTTCATTCCACAGGTTGGTGAGCATCATTGATGGTTGACAGCCCGCTTGTTTTATTCCCTGGTGACTGTTTCTCCTCAGAGGAGCTCTTGCGCTTCAGTTGGTTTGATTAACCCTCACTTGTTCTAAAGAGAGCGAGAAAAGGCTTTATTTTGAACTTAAATATCCAAAACTTTCAGCAAAAATGGCTCAATTCACAGAGAGCAAGGGACAAGGTAATGTAAAAGGTTATAGATTACTCAAAGTTTAAAGGTTTCCATGACATCCACGTCTGTTATGGAGACAGGTCGGCTTTCAGCTTCTCAATTTCTTTTTTTCACAGCTTAGGTAACGTACTAGGAATGGGAGTATTGAGGGCTAATTGGCCGATGTATGGCAAGACATATGACGGAAGCGTCGGCGCGTAGTATTAAAAGACTTCGCAGCCATTAGTTCAGAGTGGAGAGGGTGAGCGATCTCACTAAGGATGCGATCAGCGAATTTCCTGACCTTTTTAAAGTCTCGCTGTATTATAATGACAGCTAAAAAAACATGGGAAACACCGGCAACTGAAGAGAGCATTCGGAGGATTTGCTTAAAAATGAACAGGTCTTTTTTTAAGTAAAGATGGAAAAATAACTGGGGAGCAGTAAATAGTGAGGAGATGAATACAGGCATCTATAAATCGTCAGGTTAGGGCTTGCGGTGTGTCATATGAACGTAAACGCCGGATATAATATAACAGTTTACGGATTTTAATAAAAAGGCCTTCAGTATAAAAAGTAAATGAGATGTTATGTACTACAGTAACACCAAAGTACCGGAAAGAAGGTACCTCATTGGGCAGAAGTTCCATGGATTTAGGACTGGGATAGGGTCGCAATCGAAAAAAACGGTGGACTGACCTCTGTTCTTTACGTAGAAGGGCATTTGCTGACGACCGTACTGAGACGTGGTTCAGGCCCTCTTTCAGCACAGGCGTTGACACGAGCTCGTTAATCGTTTAATCGTGAGAACTTATCGGACATTTGCCATACTGGTAGTAAAGGTACGAACTAAAAACCCAGACAGGTGTTTTGCCGGTATTGCACCGCTGTTTTAACACAATTGCGAGGGATACGATTTTTATGTGGGTCCCCAGTTTTTCCTGTTTGATTTCTGATTGAAATACCGGTTTTGAAGTATCAGCTTTTAACAGGCTCAGCTGTGTAATCTCCTTAGAACCTAATTTCTTTGCTTGGTATGCATTTTTTCAATCGCATGCTGCCAACGGACAGCCAGTACTATAAATTGATAATTGTAATTTACTATACTTGCAACGCAGGTACTAGCTAAAAGCCCTCACACCTGTTTCTCCAGTATTCTGCCGCTACTCGGCACAACTGTAAGGAGTCCGGCTCATCAGCGGTTTCACTAACTTTCCATGATTTTTCTGGTTCATTTATCGGTTTTGGAGTTTCGGATTTTTTTACTTTCTTTAGAAATTAATTTCTACGCTCGGTATAGATATATTTATTAAATCCTGCAAACACTCCCATGTTTAACTTGGAAAGTTTATTTGGCAAACGTATGCTTTCAGCAATTCACCATCAGGCCAGTACAATGGCAGAGATCACGAAAATCTCATTGTTTTCACGCCGCCGGCATGGCGAGATCAGGATGTCGAGATCCTTGCACTGGGGGAGGGGAGAAAGTAGGATGGTTTGTGAGCGTTGGTCATGATTCAGGCACGTGGAGTGATAATTAGTGTCACCTGCACGCAGTGGATGACTGTTACTGGGCGGAGATGCGATTGCCGTTTGGCGTCAGCGTCGGCCATCGAAATGAAAGGGCTTGTGTAAGCGTCTTCTGACAGCAAAGTACTGGGTTCGCTAGCCGTATGGCCCCTGCTTAAGCTGTTGATAGCATCTTTTGGGGCGGGCCCTTGGAAAAGTTGGCTGGTGTCCCGTAGACAACCTCAAAGGATTCATTAGATCTATCCTCGCACACCTTGTCGATATTAATCACCGAGTCGATGCTACTGAGTCGATACTGGCCGGAAGATGAATTGCTGAAAACATACGTTTGCCGAATACACTACTCGAATTAAACATGGGAATATTCACAGAATTTACTAAATTTATAGATGCATCTATATATTAATATGTGTGCTTAACCGATCTAGTAGAGGAACTGTTAAGTTCCGCTTTGCCCAGGAGCTCACAACGTGAACCCGCCAGACAGTCACATAGGGACGAAATGGATCCC